GGGAGGGAGAAGGGAGGGAGGGGACACCCTTTTATCTCATAACCACATTTCTTCTTGATATGGAAATGTCCTTCCCCACAACAACTCTGAAGTTTCCACATGACCTTTATTCAGTATAATGGGCTTAGCTCTGTGAGATGAGACATCTGTCAAAATGAATCCTAGTCACTCATTAACGGCGCTTAGTATTTTTGATATACATTTGTTCTTAAATCCACTTTGATTTTTACTTGGTCCACAAATTCCAGCCAGGTACAATACCATATTCCATAAGCTGTGGTTTATAAATCACAATTGTGTTCACACATCCTGTTAATCCAAAAACAAATAGCATTTAGCTTAGTACACTGTTCACACCCAGCCAATTAATCTGCTAATGCAATACAGTCCCAGGTGAAATCTTTCTGCACTGGCTAGAAAACATCTGAGATTTATGGCTTAAAACAAGAAAGCCTTTATCCTCTTGGTAAATTCTTTAGCTTAATGTCCTTTTCAGGAAAGAACATCCTTTTTGTGAGTTAGAAAAGGTAATGCAATTGATTAAATGTGGTGTGATAGAATTATTACTATTTTTATGATGATATTTTATATTGAGATAACTAATGCTATTAATGCATAGGTCTAGTGCCACTAGAGACTTGAGCCACTCATATTTCATCATCTTGATTCTGATCTTTAAGGTACAAAGTACAGTTAAATCATTATTCACCCTGGAATACTGCCTTAGTGCATCTCAATAATCCATAACTGACAAGGCTGGATGATTGTCAGGTTTAGTGAAAGGTCTTGAGGTTTTTCTTTCTTCCATATTAGATATTTCTGCTGACACTATACTTTAAGGAGTTTAGGAGAAGAAAATTAAAGTAGGTTTAGATAACTCACTTTAAAATTTTTAAAATTTGGTAAGTTGCTTAAAAGTTACAAAGGAACTGATAGATTAGCTCACGTGTGTCAGTCAATCGTGTCATGAGCCAGATCATGACGTATCACAACACTTTTTGCCTTTGCAGAGCCAGGGTGGGCGTAGCCNCTCTCAGGTAGGAAAGTGACTGCTGCTGGGTGAGGAAAGAAAGATGTGGGGGGACAGTTGGGGAAGATGCACAAGAGGCATGGCAAGGTTCAGGGGGGCTGCATGATGGTGTGAGGGTATGTGAGAGGTGCAGTGCAGGTTAAGGGGGTGCACAAAAGTGCAAGGGATTGCATGAGAGGTGTGCCACAGGCTGTGGAGGGCATGCAAACATGCAAGGGAGGGTCTGGCATGAGTCATGGAGAGCATGTCAGGTGCACACATGTGCAAAAGGATACATGAGTGTGCAGGGAAGTCACAGTGAGAGTCAGGTAGGTGTCTGAGGTGGAGAAGCCTTACCCCAACAACTTAGGAACTTTCCTGCCTACTTCCCCATTAACTTTCTAGAGAAGGTGGCAGAGAAGGCTGAAAATGGTGATTACAGTATGTGATCGTGGGCTGCTGGAATAAGTTGCCAAATGCCCAGATTGTTTGAACCAGTTGCCAAATGCCCAGAATGTGATCATGTGGCCATAGGAATGCTGGGATGGCAAAAACTCTAAGGACCATTCATAACCACAGCACCATTGTAACTTTGGACAGTCACTGAACAATTGGTCATAGATTCAGGACTTCTAATATCTTTTACCTTTGAGAGATAAGATGCTAATAATGTAGTCCTGTACTTGTTACTAGAGCAAGCAGAAATATTTTCTACCTAGTGAACTCTTATTTGCCTCTCCTACACATTTTTATTTTCTCTTTTTTAAGTCATGGCTTAGCAGTGCTGTGACAAACCCAGAACACTCAAATTATAGTTTTTAATCTCCAGGTTGAGATTTTAGAGCACAAAATACAAAAAAAGTAAATTAATGCAATTTGGTGACATACAATTTTGGCCTACAGTTATTATGCCATCCTAAAATATTGTTGAATCTTGTTGCTGCTTTTAAGTCTCAGCTATTCTTGGACTCTACATTCTACAATTACCCAACCCTGTGAAGGAGATGATTATAATGTTAATACCTGCTAACTTTGTTGGAACAATCCTGGAGATAAAAAATAAAGTCTCATTTTACAAAAAAAAAAAAAAAATTTGTTGCCCGTTTCATCTGCAATTTCCATCATTTCTCATTCAGCATTTCACAAATCAACCATTTTTTTAAAAAAAAATTAATTATATGCTTTGGTTTGACTCATGTTTTATTTTAACATTTTATGCCATCTTTCAGGATAGGAAAGCAATTCAAGGGGATAAAGTAAAATTTAAAAATATGAAGTTTACATTTACATATTAATACTATTACTGCAGCATAAAATGATTCCAACTCAAAACTAAATCACAATTTGTAGCACATAATATCAGATAATAAAAGATAGCAGTTTAAAAATCCAGCTAAAAATCAGATAGAACAAAAAAAAAAGATCAAGAAGCAGCCAAACATGTGTATCTGGAAAAGAAAAAGTGGGCTGCTATTAAAAAGTCTTCTCCGTTGTGATGGAGCTTTAAGTGGCATCTTTTTTGGCCCTTTTTGAAAACTGAAATAAATGCCATGAGTAGCAGATTTTGAACAGGTTTAATGGTCCAAACACATTTGTAGGGTGATAAGATGAGAGATTTTCATGAGTTAAAATCACAAATATATGTCCTTGTTCCCACTAAAGTTTTGCTGATGCTGAGATGTCACTCTGGATATTTCAGAAGCTTTTTTGTTGGTGGAATAAAATTAACTTTGGAGTAAAATGTTGTATCTCAGTTCTCCTGCAGTGATCAAGAATATGTTCAGCGTTCTGCAAAGTGCTATTTTGTCATTTCAAAAACCAGCTTGTCTGAAAGTATTTTGCCTTCCTCTTTTCTCTCTTCCTTGTCCTTTCTGGCTATTAGTCTGAAGTGTCCTGGATACCCAACAAACACTATTCTGGCATCTATGGACTGATGAAGCTGGTTCTCACAAAGACACTTCCCGCCAATCTTGAACGAGTCATTGTCCTTGATACTGACATTACCTTTGCTACAGACATTGCTGAGCTTTGGGCTGTCTTTCACAAGTTCAGAGGTACTGTAATGCCTTTATTTCTTATTATTTGTGCTAATATTCTGAGTTTGTAAAGTTCTTTGCTGTTTGAGGTGTCTGTGCCCTTGCCTGCTGTTATTTACTACTTCTAGACTGTTACCTATAAATTTACATTACCACAGTTAATTAGAAAACCTCTGGGAGTGTATTTATACATGAAGTGTCTCCAGTGAGGAACAGCATAAATAGTAAGGTGTGACTATTTACAATTGCATGTACTGTTGTTAGCCACTATTGCATCTAGGATTGCAGTGATTATTATAATGGCAAAACTGATGACTGAAGGAGGAGGATCAATTCAAAACTGGTTGTAAGGACAAGAAAACGCAATTACAGAATCAGAATGACAAAATGAAGTCAAATTACTGAATACCATTCCTGCACTGTCTTGCACAGCAAGTAAAAAGTAGACCTTTAAGTGTAATGCAGTACCTTGCTGAAAACTCATCATAATCAAGTATTATTAGATTAAAATCTAAAAATGGAATAGAATTTTTTTTTTCATCTCTTCACCCACTTCCCTATAAACCCATGAATATTTGGGGATGCTGAAGGGCTTTCTGGAACATATTTTTCAGGAGTAAATGGAAAATCCGCCTCGCACCCTTCTTTCCCCAAATCACCTTTTTCTTACATACACTCTCATAAAGTAGTAAACTGTTTTAGAGAGAATGAACAAGGGTGTTTGTTAGAATTGTTATCAATTATTAATTTTGTTGGTGGTAAAAATATCCACAAAACTGTTCCAGAAAAGCTATCCAACTATACACATTCTGACCAAAGAAATGTTTTTATTCCCAAGCCAACATCCTCTCTTCTGCCTTCTTTAAAAAAAAAATAAAGTTCTATAACTAAAAAGACAAGTGGAATTGAACCAAAGAATAACTGAGCATCTAGAAGAGTATAAAAGCAAAAGAATAAGGTTGCATGCATTGAAGCCTGTTACTAAAAACAGCTAGCACAAGAATTAATAAATGCCAATACTATAATAACAAATATAAAGAGAAGGGGGGGGGGACCCAAAGTGCATCACTAAAATCAGGTTGGAAAATAATATCAGCATGCTAAGATCAGGTACAAGAAAACTAGAACAGATGAAAAAAAAAGAAGCTGACGAACAAGAAGACTAAATAAAATCTGATTAATAAGTATTTGCTAATGATAATGAATATCACAGATGCACTAGGAATAATGCAGCAATAAATAACAATCATAGCCAAGAAAATCAGCAGATTTAAAGCTCTAATTGCACACAATGTAAGGAAGAGTCTTCAATTTCAATTCACTCAAAAACATTTCTACCAATGCATTTATGGAACACTGCAATGAACCAGTCAACATCTGACAAAGATGAAACAGTACAATTCAAATTAAATTAGGAGTTCTGAATACGAAGATCAGAAAAATTGTGACAGAGACATGCCCATTTCCAGGCAGAGATGTTAAAAGACCCTATTTATCAAAGGAAACAGATGGATGTGGAATGTTACAAGTACACCAGACAGAAGAAGAAAGAGGAGGAGGAGGAGGTGATGGAGGTATTGGAACAATATGTGAAGGACAGTGAAGAAGATCTGCTGAAGTTAGTATACCAGGAAGGTTTACTGAATACTGAAGAGACCAGTCTGATCCATAAGAAAAACCAAATGAAGATTGGTTAAAAAAAACTTAGCAGGCAAACCAGATAACAACAAAACTTGGCAATGACTAAGTGCAGGAAAGTTGAAAAGAGGAGACAGGGGTGCTAATTCTGGATGCGTAAGATCAAGCCTTAAAAACCAGTGCATACAAAGCCAGAATTGAGAAGATAGCAACAGACGGCAAATGCCACCTTTGCAAAGAAGCTGAATAAACAATGGACCACTTTATTAGCTGCTGCAAAAAGATCACACAGACTGACTACAAATAATGGCATGACAAAGTAGCAACAATGGGGCATTAGAATATCAGCAAGAAATGCCATTTGCCCCATCCAGAAGACCAGAAAATACACAAAGTAATAGAAAATGTAGAAGTTATCTGGGATTTTAGAATTCAACCAGATTAGCATCACCCAACACTCCAGACTTAAAAACTGTTAATAAGGTTTTAATAATCTGGATAATGAGCATTGCATTACCTAAAGACAGCATAAGAGAAGAGAAAAACTGGCAAAACCCACAAAATACAAAGACCCACAAATAGAAGTAGAATAACAGTGGCAAAAGAAAACAAAGATAGTAACAGACACTTTGTACGCAATCCCAAAACACCATTTGAACACCTGCATTGACAAAATTACTTGCAAAAGGCAGTTTACATCCTATGACATTACCATTAATATTAAACCACATAATCTGCCTATCCTAAATCCTTGGGAAAGACTCAATAAGTGGACACAATGCCACATCCAGTCGAAACATCTGGCTAGGTGTGTGACCAACCATAATTTATTACTAAAATTATGTGCCACACAACTCCCAGCAACCCCAGGCAGTTCACAATTGTCAAAACATTTAAAAAACAAAGAACAATACAGAAACATAAAAACAAAACAAGTTGAAGGGAAAAGAATGGCAGGGAAGAACAGAAAGGAAAAAGGGGGCATCAATCATTCTCTCTAAAGGTCTGGATGAAGAACCAGATCTTGAAGGCATTTTAAATCCCAGTAAAGTTTGAGCTGTTCAAATGTTTTGGGGAGGGGGGGAACCTGAATATTTCTACCTTGCTTTTAGAACATCAGTTCTATTTCTGGATTTTGATCAAAACATCTTATGGCAGTTTTGAAAGATTGTCAACTTAACACACAAGGATGGTAATACTGTCATTAAAGATAGTTCCTTCTCTGCAGGAACCTGACTTTCTAATGCTTTCATTACTGAGGGCTATTCTATATCACTGATTTTTTTACGGAGAGCTATTCTATATCACTGACTTTCAGTCAGTCAGTCACCCAGATGTTGGCAATAATTGTCTAGTTCAAACCTTGTCCAATTTGATATTGCTTGAATTGTGAGAAGGATTTTCACAGCAGGTGATGCAGGGAGAAGTAGAACTGTCTACTTAGAAGATGCAATCCGCTTGTCCTAGTTGCCCCATACCTTAGGGATTCTTGCAAAATATTTTAAAATAAATTTAACTGATTTCTATTTGAACCTAGATTTATGAATGTTTTACTCAAGAATCTTGTTTAGGGAACTAAAATTAGCCACCAGCTGCTACCCTCTATCTGACTGCAGTAGAGATGTTTGAAAAATTAATTTAGAATATCAATTACTTATGATATAACAACACCAATGTTTTCCTAAAGTATATTTCAGTTATAAAACAATATAGTTTTAATTTCTGTGATGCTTACCCGGAAACAGAAGCTAAAATAAATGTTCCATGTTTTATTTCAAGATGTGATTTTGATGAATGGCTATTACTTTTGAAGTATAAATGTTCTTTTCTTCAGGAAAAAAATGTTATGTATTGTCTCTGGGAAGGTCATTGCACAGTAGGATCCAACATGTGCTTTAGATAAGCAATAAACAAGGATGAATTCCTTCAGCAGATATGGGAACCCACACAATTACCATGTCAGAGGCATTTCTTTATGCTGGACTGATTTACACGGCCCATCCATATTTCTGATCCTCTGAGCCATTGTATAAAATGCTATTATGAGTTCTCTAATGGCAACCGATATATAGAATCCTTGCTTCAGTTTGCCACTTGACAGGAACTTTTATGTTAGAGTAGCATCCTAGAAACATATGAGAGAAAGAGACTATTGTAGAGGTCAAAGGCAGAAGAAGGAGCTTCAATTCTTGTTCTACAGTTTTAAACATAGATGGGAGGAATATCACATACATTCCTACACAACAGACCTGCTGCCAAGCTGACTAATTTGATATATGTATATGAAATTTTAAAATTTTTGATCCCATTTTTTTTAACTAAGTGACATCCAAAACAGTTTCCTACAGAGATGGGTCTTTTATACTGATAGGCATTAATTATTGTTTTAATTCCTTATTTAAGTCCTCATCCTATGTAATTTTTAAACAGTACTATTTTCCCTGTATATTGCTTAGAACCTCAGAATTATGCACAAGTTATTAAAACAAACCCTCTACTTTTTAAAAAACAAAAAATAAAAACAATAGACCAAGAGCAGGTTAATGAGACGTTACAAAGGCTATGCCGTGAGCACTAAATAATGATTCCATAGTTGTAGGTGCTTTAAAATTGTATCCTACATAATTTACACAGTAACATGCAGAACTAAAATGCTAGCTAGATTAGAAAGCAGTCCCAGGTAATCTCCTTAAATTATATATTAACAGTTTTTTCCCCCAAAAATCACTAAAAAACTACTGCAGGTGGTAAAGTCTTCCAAGTGCTTTCAAAAGATGCTCAGCACACTAATGGGTTTTCTTAAGAAGATATGTTGAAAATTAAAGTGACACATATATGTATGTTTTCTTTCATTAAATTCATTGAAAGATCTGTGCTTAAAACCTTTTATTTATAAGTGCACAAGAATACCTCTATTCAAATAGAGATTTTTTTATCCTCTATTGAAATAGAGATAGATATCTCCATCCCTATTGAAATAAACTAGAAAATCAGGTTGAAAAACAGCACTATATATAACTCCAGATACATGCTAAAGTTCTTTCACATACAACATATCACCTTGTTCCCAAGGGATGGCCAAAGGAATGCAGGCCAACATGATTCCATCAAGTAATCTTGTACAATGTATTCTCAAACAGTTGTACCATTCATATACTATATTACAAGTATCTGGTAAAAATATTGCAGGTGTATATATATTTTTTTGAAATTGATTGCTATTCAAAAGCCCACCTCCCTAAATCCATTTTAAGTGGTTTTAAAAACACCAACACAGCTAAGCAAAAGGTGAGTTTTGTTTTGCCTCTCCTGAATACACACAGGCTACTAAATCTGTTTGCCTTGCATCAACAGTTCAAACAGGATGAAAAATATGTTTT